CTGAGTGCCGGGCGGGGCCTAACCCACGACGCTGCCGCAGCCAGAGTGGGGCTGAGGCTGCAGCTCCTGGCCCCGCAGGCTGCTCCCTACTGAGCCTGGGTTTCAGCCAGAGCCCCGCTGGCCCTTCAAATGCCGTCAGGTTCCATGCACTGGCACGACGAGGATGAGAGATGGGAAAGGAATATGAAATTCTTTCCTGCTGTCAAAACCTAAATCAGCAAACCCGTCTGTCAGCCTGGGAATGCTGGAAAGTACTGCTGAGGCTCCCTGTGCAGCCTCCAGCCCAGCAGAGCTGGTAACATGAACGCAAAGCGATGGAGGGGAGCCCGCTGTGTGTGCCCTGCCCGCCCCCCCGGCCGCCCTACCCAGCAGCAGCTTCCTCCCACCCTGCTGCTCCCCAAAATGCATTGCACTGCAGCCAAACGCATCCTGGGGTGTGGGGGGGGTAACACCCCTGCCCTCCCAGCCTCCCCGGACACCTCTGGGTGAGCAGTCGGGGCATGAAGAGCTGAGAAGGATGGTCTTCCTCACCAGCTCCCATTTCTTCCTTTTCACTGAATTCACCTCAACCCACATGCAAATGAGGAGGCTGGTTTGCCACAGGAAAAAAAAATGCCACTTCAGGTTTCTCCCGAGACAGCTAGAAAGAAGAGTAACTTGCCCTTCCCTGCTTGGCCGAGCTTCCAAGTGTGCTGAAAAACACTTTCCTTGCAGCTCTCATTCTCAGATCCAGCAACCCCGCGTGCTTGCGACAGACCCCTGAAGCCCTGCGGTCTGTTCTTGCAGGGAAACTTCACGCCAGCCTCGTAAATCCTCAGCAGTCCATCAGCGAAGCCCTTCAAGTGCAACACTATGGCTCAACAAGGACCTCAAGCAACCTTCCTTACTTCTTTGGCTATCATCTGTGTTCCTTCTGATTTTGTCTACACAAACCCGGCAATTAGTCACGTTCCCGCAAGAAAAAAAAAAAAAAAAGAAAAAGCAGCATTTTTCACAAGTTGTTGTGTGAGTTTTGACTGATGAAAATTTGAATTCTATGCCCTCAATATGAGCTGGAAAGAAAACCGGGCAGCTGGCACTGTCTGTTCATCTGCCAGTGAGGGGTTTTTGTTCACTTTTTTCCTTTATCAAGGCATCGTGTCCTTGGGTATTTGTTTCCTATATATATCTCTCTCTGCTCTACAAAATAAATATATTTGCTATAAATCACTATATAAACCAAATATAATAATCTTTCAAAAAACTTGTTCTCACAAGGAATCACACAACAGTTCAAATGGTTTGAAATATTGAAAACATCTTTTAATTGTAGAATTCTATACAAACTCAGGTAGATACAGAAGTGGTCACGACAAAATGTGTTCTTATTGCCTGAAATTTTTCACAGAAATAGAAACATTGATGGCAAGCTTACTGACATCCAACATGATGAGATATCTTTAAACTTGCATAATGAATAGACACAACAACACTTCCTAAGTAGTTTGTATGTGTTTGACTGTCCTTGAAGTCATACCACTTATATACCAACCTCAAAATACAAAGAACCAAGATTAAAATTTTTAATGCACAGCACATAATAATGTAAAATTAAGCACAAAAAAGGTAAACAAAGTGTAATCCTGAAAACACACTATTTTTTTTTTACCTAGGGCACTGACTTATTCCAAGAATGATTTCCTGTATAGCTGTGTTTTAAGTGAGGCACACATTTTGTTTTCTGCACAGGACATCAATATCTGATGGAGATACAAGAACGAACGATAACGAACAAAAGGGAAAGAAACGTAATCACAAGTGGAACTCAAACTCCATGCCAGTGTTCTCGCAGCCCTAAGCAAAGCTATACATTAAAATATGCTACAACCATTGTTGTCAAAAAGTCCTTGGCACTTTTCCTCTGATAATCTCACTTTCAGTTTTTTAAAAAAAATGGAGCAAATTACATTTCTGCACCTATATCATAAGGCAAAACTATAAATGCAACTACAAGGACAAGTTACCAAAAAAACCCCAAGCCAAAGATAACCCCCACCCTCAGACCATCACCCCCGAACTCCAAATGCTCGGTGAAATAATATCATCCTTCCTCCTCATCACTGTCTTTCATAGTAATGCCCTGAAGTCCTCCCGCATCCGTGACTGAGACTGTGGCTTCCTCTACGGTCAGACGGCTGTGAACAGTATCATAGGTTTTACTGTTCAGCGTTCCCTCCAGCACGCCTTGCAACCTGAAGTCTCGGTAGGTTTTCTGCGGCAAAAATAAAACATCCTCAATTGGACTCGAGCAAGTCTGAGCAGTCTTCCACTACACCCTGGCCGTTTCTAGCATGCCAGCGCAATAGCTTCGTTCCTCCTGCAGTTAGGGCCTTATTACCTAGAGTTTGCCAAAGATTTTGCGGTCGTAGTTTCTGGGCTGCTTGAGATTTCTATAAACTCTAGGCAGTCTACAAGCCACACTTGATGGTCATTCCCTTAAGAGATTGTGTTTTGTACTGCATTTCTGTAACTGTATGCTGATTTCTCAGTAACTTCCATTTGTCTCATTTATTCAATAAGAAACCGACAAAGAATTTTTCTAACTGCATACTGAAATGTGAATTTGGCTACAGGTAGTTCTGTCATTTCACAGAAAATGTAAATGCCTGACTCTTTCCCCTTAATATGATTTTATTTGCATTTATCTTTACATTTATATGCTAAATGTGGAAAAATAAAATAAATTTTAGATTATGATCTATATTCTACAATATAAACATTTCTCAGGTGACTACTTCAGTCAGTCAGTTTACATTCTAAGTCATCTACATTTTGACTCACATCTACATTCCCCCCCCCCCCCCCCTTTGTTTCCCTGGTATCCAGCCTTCCTATGAACCAGCAGATCTGACTTTCTTCTTTGACTTTCTACCAAGTAAGAATTCTGAGTGAAATTGTTTTATTCATTGATGCTATATGTTCAAGTGAGCACATGGAAGATCATCTACTCTACCTTCTTTATTTTTAACTTGTAACACATTTGAAATAATCTTCCCTGAAGCTAGCCTAAAAAGCTTAAGAAGGACAAGTTGATCTAGCTAGTTTTTTATTTCGTATGCACTGTCACTGCAAGTTCCCAATGTTTATGCAAGAGAATATGGGAAGAAGAAAATAGAAGATAATTAAGGGCTATCAGGCTCATTCCTCTCCCGGAGGAGACCGCGCACAACCCTTAGAGAAAGAAAAGAGAAAAGAGAAAAGAGCTGATCTTGTTTCACTCAATACTTCAGAGAACTGCAAAAGACACCTCTCAAAATGGGTAACATTCAGCTGGGAGAATTTTTTCTGCCACTATCCATGATGATTATTTAAACCTCGTTTGAATCACTGCAACTGAGATTTATTTGACTTTCATAGGTCAACTTCAGAGTCAATGGATGCAGCTTATGTTTTGCTCACGCACTCCTGCAAGTACCCTGCCTGGTCTTTTTCAAGTGTTACCATTGCATTCCCTTTTTATAACACTGTGCATTCAATTTCCTTTTATGCTGTTAACAGGTCCTACAGCAATTTCTTTCAGTTTTACATTGTATTCCTCCCATTCTCAGACCAGCACTCTGGGGTTCAGTCATTGCTCTTCTCTTGACATACTTTTGCGGGATAATAATGTTCACTTCCAAGCTTAACTTTTCATTTCTCCCTAACTTTCCTCTTGGTCCTTGACCCTTCTTTAGTAGTCACATCCCTCTGCACGCGTCTCAGACATCTAATGACACCTTTATGCCATCGTAAGGCTGTAATGGGAACAAACAATGTTTCTTCTTCTGGTCATTCTTAATAATGCCACTACCTTTGCTGCACCCAAACATGAAAGAATCACCCATTTCTTACTCATCCCATGTGCCTTAAAAATGACTTCCTACTTCTTTTTTGGAATATTTTCAAGAGACGACAGGGGCAACACAGCCTCCCAGTTTTTCCAGAAGCAGACAAAAAAGTGCCTTCATTCACTCTAGAGTGTGGAGGAACTGTCCCTCCCCACGTGCCTCTCCACAGCTGGGCTGCAGCAGTGAAAGCTTCTTAGGATACTCTGCTTGAACCACTGCTTTGCATTTCCCAGCAGCCTCCTGTTCGCCGAGTTCCTGTTTTACCAGTTCTGTCTTCTTCACCCACCAAAACACAGGTGGACAAGACTTTCTGTCTTCCAGTACATTGACCAGAACCCCTAAGACTGACATCATCTTCTTCAGTCTTCTGTATCCTCAGAAGGTGCCATGGAATAACACACTTGGAACTTAGGTGCAGAACAAACCAGGCGCACGGGCACAGAAAGGCCACCACCATAACCAGTGCATTCCCCGTGCCGCCGGGAGCCTACTTCTTTCGAACAAGGCTAACCGGCATGCCAGGCTGCAGAGGGAACACTGGCTGACAGTGCTGCTCATTCACCTGAACTTCAGTTTTGTAAGAGCCTCTTCTTTTAATCTCCCAGGTGATATTTAGCTGGTCTAATTTAGCCTGCCCGTTCTTAGATCTCACTGGGCACAGGTTGTAGATCCTGTAACACTTCCCCCGCCCTGCCCTCGCAGAGGACGGTAACTACCTTCACCTGAGAAGAGCTTTAAACCTTTCACAAGAGCCATTCATTTCAACCACAAATAGCAAGCTGCTCTTGCCATTTTGGCACATAATGTAATGAAGAGCCAAATCCTGTTCCCAGAGAAATCAGTTAAGGTCAAAAATAGCAAAGCTAAGCTTGGGTGGGTCAGGGAGCCATGATGCCATCATTATTACACCTGTTTCCTTCATCTCTCTCTCTCTTTTTCCTTTTAGCTAGTGAATCCTGAAGGTTGCAGTTGCAATTCTGGTATCCATGAGTTAAAATGCTTCTGACTTTACAGTCTTGCATGAACTTCATGAGAAAATATTTTGAAGAAATCAAGGTCACCATTGACAACAGGTACTTCTTATTCCACATTTATACAGATAACAAGAATGTTCAGAGCTAAACAAGACAGAATTAAAAGGAAAAAAAATCTGAAATATCTTTCCATCTCTTGCCTAAGGGTATTAACTAAGATCTGGAAGGGAGTTAAGAGGAAACTTTCTTTTATGGTAGGTTAACCCATAATTGCCTATTGCAAGGTATTTTATGCTTTGCTCAGAAGTATTTGACATTGGCCAGTGTAAATGACTGAGAACTGGACTGCAGAGATTGGTATTTCTGTTGATACTTATCCTGGAGTATGAAAAATTAGAAAATGTTATCTAATATGTTGAATATTGTTTTCCAATTGAACCTAGTAATCACATAAAAAAAGAAAATAGTTACTTTTTAGGAGAGTGAGAAAAATGGAGAAAGAACGCTACTGGGATTATTAAGGTAAAACAAAAAAAAAAATCAGTAATATGACAAATAATTTCTTAGGAATACCATACAACATTGCTGTACAGCTAGCAGTAATCTGTTAAAATTCATTGGAACAATCTTAATTGTCACTGAGTCCAGAATGGATGACAATTACTACTGCATATATAATTAGCATTAGAGGTTTTAATAAATTGCTTTTCTTCTGAAATTTGCTACAACTGTGAAAAAAAAAATCCCAACCTAAAACTACATCAGTTTGCAACTTTATTCCACATTTTCTAAGTTTTAGGGTGACCTACACTTATCCATGTTAATACTTTATCACTTTTTTTTCTCTTTACTATGCAGTGTAACACAAACACATTTTATTTACCTTCACTATCTTGATGAGAGTCTTCAGCTGGTAGATGTGAAGCTGAAGGTCTAATCTGTCAGCCAACCACATGCATATGACTTTCATGGAGCTGCTATACCATTGCTGAAAAGAAGGATAAAAAAAAAAAAAAAAACAAACAACCCTGCGGTATTCATTTAACAGATTTGGTAATGAGAGGTAATGAAACACTTTGAAATGATCACAGATCAGCACTTGAAGTCAACAATGATATAATTTCCTGTTAAGAGAATTGCATGGGTCAGTAGGAAATCAAATAACTTGACCTAGACTGTTCTTTACATGAATTAGCAACTGCCATTTTATCTTTCAGTTACAACATTTTCAAGCAAAATAGTGTTATGCACTTTGCTATCTGTCAGTAAGAATGGATATTAAATACACAATTACATGAGAGAATTGACAGCTAAAACAGCAAGGGAAAAAACAGGTAGGGTATCTTGAGAGAGAATTTGCAATACCTAGATTTTCCAATACAAACAGGAAACCAGCATCAAACGTAGAATATGGAATCTGTCTTGCTTTTGCCTTTTAAATCACTTCTTTATTAAGTAAAAAAAACCAGAAATCCACAGGAAGTGTATTTAAGCATGATCAAAACACCACTCCACCCCTCCCAAAATAACCGTGTTAAGGCTTTGTTTTACGTTAATTACTAATTATAATTACAGCCTACCTTATTTCCTTTTTATGTCTTAGGCATGGGTATGTTTTCACTCAAAGCTTCACAAACGGATGGGGTAAGAATAAGCTCTCTGCTGTTGGTCTCTATGTTACCGTAAAAAAATGCTCAGATCCAAATAGCTACTATAAGAGTTCTTTCACATTAACTGGATTAAAAGAGATTTTACTAAACATAGTTGTAGCAGTTTTCCTTCCCTTCCTGTAAAATACCAACCAGATGTCATTTAGTCAAACTGTAAAAAGGAAGGGATTTTTTTTTTTTTTCATTTTAGCAGTGAGAGATTAAAAGAGTTTGTGTCGTAGCTCTGTTTCTAGTCTCTTTCCCCACAGGGAAGAGGCTTACATTCTTTTCAGATGTAATTTCCTCTATCTTTACAAAATACACAGATATGCAAAGAGAAGAAACACTGTGCATATATTAAAATGCAGCATGTTAGGCAAGGTAAACGTCGTGAAAATTCAAAGGAAGGATCTAACAGGTCTCATTAGCCACCTCTATATTAATAAATAAAATAAAATATATATTGAAAAAATGAAGACAAATTACTAGCAACTGGATGTACCAAAAGACAGAAATAGAATTTTTTTCATCAAAACGTAAGCTCTCTGGAAAAAGCATTAAAGACATACAGTAAGTATATGTAAATACTTTTTCCTTACAGGAAACAGTCTCATCTCATTGTAACTATCGGTTTTAAGATGTTTGAAATAAGATTTTCATATAATAATGGCTTCCATTTATTTTGTTTAATGTCTTAAAATGTGTTTTAATTATAAATCATTGGAAATAAATTGCTTTTACATTTTTTAGTGTTTCTCCCATTAAGTTACTATTTTACAGAAGTGAACAAATACACCACACAAAATGCAGATAGCTGCACATTTCATAAAAGTAGTTCGATTTATTCAATAAAATGTGGGACTGATTGGGTATCCATAAAATACTGGGTTTTATCACTGAATGACGCTCTTATACTATTTACATTATTTCACCCCAAACGTGAATGCTGGTTTTGATTTCCTTTATAAGTACCTGTAAAATATTTCTAACGTGACAGAGTTGTTACTAAGTGGCAGCTGTAAACTATATGACAGGTTTTGTATGTATACAGATGTCTAGAAAATAAAATACAGTTGAGCTTATTTGCTCAGGGAACTGTATTGATCTAATAAACATAAAAATTCATATGCCAAGCATTCTACCCAGACTATTGATTGTTATTTGCAGTAAGATGAGCCCAATTACTGTATTATCACTCAGACTCTACAGTTGTTAATCTTTAACATAATCACAGTAGAGGAAATGATTTTAGTAGTGGAGTTTTCTCAAAACTGATATTCCTCCATAAAAAAAAAATCCGGTAACAGATCCACGATGTATTTGGTTTGTATCAAGTAGAAAGCAGAAGGGGCTCAAACTTGCTCACACGAATAAACTACAGACAGGATCGAGAGTTCTGTGGTTTCCCCATGCAATACCGCTGAATGGGGCCAGATCGCTGAGAACAGACCCAGTCCAAGTTTTCTGGCAAAACATGTGTTTTAAAGCCCAGCCAGATAACTTATTTAGATGGATGCAGTAAAAATTAGACTCTCCATACATATCTGTGATATGCTTACATGCACTGAAAACAAAGCTAAGAAATTGGGGGGAATTAATTTTGCTACTCAAATTTGTGAATGAAAACAATACAATGTTTTCCTGACTAGTTCTGATATGTTAAACTTTCAGTAGAAATGTTTAATTTGGTGATTGTGAAATGATACTACAATACTTGCTCCTCTGTCAAAATACATTGTTCAGAAAAAATACAACTGCTATTGTATTAGAAAAAGATGTATTCCTATTTTGAATTGTCACAGTATTTTTAATAAAAATCACATCCAGTATATTTTTAGAGTCCTCACAGAGGCACTTGTGGATAGGATTCCTGTTCACTATTGGCCTTATACCTACTAGTTTTGAGCACTTAGTATAGGCTGAAGCTGCAGAAACATAAATCTGCTGGACTTCATAAGAAGAAAAGTAAATATTTCCCTATAGCTTCTATTGGAGCCTGTTAAAATGCACAGCACTGCAAATGCCTCTCGGAGGTGGAATCCAAGGCCCCATGTTTTGACAACGATGAGCATGTTACAGAGGCAGGGATGCACCTACTGTGACTTCTGGGAATCTATTGCAAACTCAAAAGCTTCAGCGATTAGATAATGGTCCTGAGATTACACCGTTTTTAAGTAATAATAATAAAAATAATAATGTCCTTCTAACTGGTTTTAAGAAAAAGTCACTTTCCCGCTAGTAACAATAGCACTGAAAGGACAATGCGACTCTTGCAGATGTCAATGATATGGTGTTAGTGCCACATTCTTTGCTGTCGTCTATGCAAGAATAAAGCAGTAAGTGTTTATTATATATTTTTTTCACATCAGCACATAACAGCAGCCAACCACTTTAACAAAAATATGTTTGCCTCCCTGTTTCCCCCTCTCTTCTTATTCATAGCTCATCCCGCTCCTGTAAGGGCATGCATTACTCACTTCATTTTCCTGAGATATCTCTTTTAAAGTAAAAAAATAAGAGAAAAGGAAAGGCTAGGGTTGACTCTGTGAGACCCCTGTATTTATTCACACTTATTGTGCATGACTGTAGACTGGTAAATCATATTAGCAGCCTGTCTCCCCATCAAGCTGCTACTTGCTTTCCAGCCCTGGGAAGGTTCAACAAATCAACAGGAGCACGGAAAACAGAACATCAGTCTAATCTAGTGTTTAAGGTGAAGTTTTCAAACCCAATCTAAGAAGATCTTTAGAGCAAGCAACAAGCTGAAGGGCTCAGAAGGTGGTATTGACAATGAAAGAGTGTTGAAATATTGAGAAGCGCAGCACTTGTGCATTTTTAATAACAAGAGGGTCAACAAGGACACAGCTCCCTCAGTGCCAATAGTTGCCACACCAGGGCTATAAACGCTCTCAGTTCATCAGATTTCTTAAACAGTTCATCAGCTTTCTTAAACACCCTAAACCCCCTCAGCGGACCTTTAGTCTTAAATTAACAAACCAAAGCAATGAAAGAGGGTGCAGCTTGAATGGCCAGCATTGATCCCCAACGGGGCTCGGCGCGGCTACAGGCACTGAAAAACTCGCTCCATTGTCGGGAGGAATTGACAAACCTCCTCGCCTAAATAGTCCAGCTGAGGCGGGCTGGAGGCACGCAGCTGTAAAGGGCTCCCCTCGCCCCGCTCCCAGCGCTCACAATGCGCCAGGCATGAGCTCTTTGTCAGGCCCAGACTCTGCAATTTTCTAACAAGGATTAAAGTTGTTTCTCGGCAGGGCCAGTGAAAAGCGATTTAGCAACATACCGTGCTTTCTTCAGGCGAGTTAAAGAGAAGTAGTTAAGGAATTTCATTATTCTGTTGACCGGTGGAAATACAAAACAAATATATTAAATATTCACCATCTTTCTGGGTGCCTGAGCTATACCATTTGCAGAACGGTTCAATTAAATATAACACTTATTGGCTGAAAGCAAGCACTTCAGATTTATTTTTCAAGTTTTATAAAAAGGTGCAGCTGTTTGCCACCTGGAAGGAGGCTCAATACATACTAATACACAATGCTTTAGTCCTTCTAGGGCTGGTATCCCCAACGCCTGAGACACAAGACCCCGTCGAGTTTCTATATCTTGCCTGCTCTTGATAAATGGGCACTGTCAAAATGCTTTTTCTGCTGAATATGGCAGGGGGAACAGCTTTTCTAGGAACTGCATTTTATCTTCCTACCCAAGCCTTTATCGCACTATTGATCAGGAATTGAGTCACTCAGACGACAACGGGATGTTTTTACTTCCTCCGGCTCTACTTTTCCTACCAGGAACAATAACAGAAAGTATTCTTACGGAAGAGGTTGTACATCAAAGGCAGCAGAGGCTAAAATGCATAAGAAACACTATGAGCATATTCAATATTAAATGCTAAAATGCCCGGTTTTTATTAAAAGGCAATGCTATTGCATTGTTTCAAGATTTTGGTAGCTAGTGTTAGTAGCGTGCCAAGGAACTTTTAGAACATTTTAAAAAAATGTTAAATGATGAAAGAATAAATTATTCCTTAAAAATGCAAACAGCAAAAGTTAGAAAAAAGTTCCTGATTTAAGTTTCATAATTTATTTCCCTCTTTGTAAAATACGAATAATCAGACTGACTTCCTTTGTTGAATGTTAATGACAACGAGGGAAACAAGTGTTATTTGTAGTGTCTTTGAAAACACTCTGAGGTTTTTAAGTTAGAGCTATATTTTCAAGTTTAGGTCATCCACTTAAATGAGGATTTTTACCCGAGCAGTGACGAGTTCATACACTCCTCTGAAGGCTGGAAAGCCTTCGCAACTCTTAAAAAAACCCCA